GCCATTCCTATTTTCCCTTGTAATCCTAATGCTCATTATTGGTGTTGTCTCCATTAAGTCTTCCCCTTTATCTATGGGACTAGCCACTCTTCTCTTCTTCCTTACCCTTCCATCTTCATTATCTACCTGCTGTACCCCTTCTACGTTTTCCAGCTCCACATACTTGTTCTTGAGCTCTATTTTTCCTTCACTGACCCATCTTTTCCTCTGCCTGGTCCTCTGAGTCACATGCTTCCGCTGTCCATTTTCTTCGCCCAGCAGTCCCCCCTCTGAGGCCCTTGATCCTGCTTCCATCTGCATATCTAAGCTTTCCCCTTCAGCCACGTCATGCCTTTGCCCCATCATCTGCTCAAACCCCCTTCTAAACTCGACCAGAGTTTCCATCTGCATCTCCAGTCCTCGGATCTTTTCTTCCAACAGCTCTATCAGGTGGCACTTCATGCAAACAAAACTCCTTTCAGATACCCCCTCCAGAATCATGTACATACTACAGCTACCACATCCAATCATCCTCCTTGTGTTCTCTACTACTTGGGCCATGGCCACTAATGCTTCTGTGTTTTATCTATTTTCTCACCAAAATCCTATTAGTCAGGTGAACACAAAAACAAACCAAAACACCTCCTCCACAGGAAAAACAAACTCCAAACAAGTCCCACAATCCAAACTCCCACTCAAACTCCCCTGTTTACAGCTCTGTTTGCTTGGCATCTGTTCCGCTGCCTGACTGGAAGGCTACCTTTATAGGACCCCTAATCAGTGAAGCCCCTCACCCTAATCAGGGCTCAGCTTCTCTCCCAGCACACTGCCCCTCCAACAGAACTCCCACTCAAACTCCCATGTTTACAGCTCTGTTCGCTTGGCTCCTGTGCCGCTGCAGCTATCTGCAGCATGTACAGGTTGCCCCCCCACACACGCCAAAATCTGAAATGGAGCTCCTGGGTGAAGATTGCTAGACTTGTTGTTATAAATTAATATCTCCTGCCATCAAGCACTATGTGAAATCGCTATTTTACCAACATGGCATTGTACTTTTCCAATCTTAACATGAGGCGAATTTTGATATTTATTGTTTTGAATACTTGGTTGGACATGATATGAACAATTAGATCCAGTTGCATGCTAAATAATTAAAAATCAAGCTAGTCTATTAAAAATAGCACAGGGTAGAAATATAATTAATATGCTTAGAATTTTCCTTTGTCTATATTACAAATTAAAGCTGGGTTCTATTTTGTATTGTAGTATAATCAGGGCCTTAACTATTGCCTCATCCTGTGCTTGAGATGGATGTGTGTGTTACTCATGCCTAGAAACCTTGGCAAGCTGGTTTACAATCCTTTGTCACTATGTAAATTTCTCAGGATGTTCCACCTGAGTTTAGAGAGGCTAGCAGTAGTGTTTTCCTCTTCTGTGGTATAAAAGGGTGATTTGATGGGCGTGTCTTAGTTTAATAATGCTTATGGGCATGATGAGCTATACAAGTGTTGCCTGTCTTGAATAGAGCAGTTATAGAGAAACAATGGCCAGTAACAACCACTAATGAGGGGCCATTTGCATTGATGAGTTGAGTGTTAGGGACCAGCTGCAAGTGTTGTGCCATATTCAGAAAATTTAAATATGCTTGAGTGCTACATGACATGCAGTGAAACAGATTGAACAAAATAAAAGTGTTACATAGCTGTTTTAGACGTTGCTAAATTAAATTGTAGTTGGCCAATGAAATTTTGCCAAAACCTGTACTTTATTTGTGTTAAGTATTATAAAGACAGCATGATCAATTAATACATTGGATATTCGACTGTTTTTGTAGCATCAGAAAGTCCCATTTAATTGACTTACTCTACAGAACTTTCTCCTCATTGAATTATTTTTTATTCTAACAAAAATATAGAGTGAAAGGATTGTAAAATGTATTCTGACTCCTTGATATTTTGAATGGAATATTTGTGTGCACATTTCACAAAATATTCTACAATTTCATTTTGCATGTGCCTTCTCTCCTGAAATGTATTAGAAATCAGGTAACTTGGCTGCAAAGACTACACAGTCATGAAAATTGGGAAATCAAAAAATCAAAATGGGAGGTGTGTCTAAATTTGAATGTATACCTTTTTGCTTGATTTGTTTTCAGATACCTTTTTGCAAAATCCTGAATTTTCCCTTCTTTTGACAGGTACCACAGACCGAAAACATGAAATCAAAAAGGTACCTCCTGAAAGGCCAGAATGTCTTCCTAATCGAACAGAGGAGAAAGGTATGAAATAGGCTCCTATGTCTCCTGTTTGAATAGAGATGGACAGAGGAGATTATTTTAAAGTTTTCATTTTCCAATCAGTAGATAGGTTTAATTAAGTGTATTTTGTACACATGAAAGTTGATTGATGTGCCATAACTTACTTTTATGCATTTCTTTTTTTTTTCCTTTTATAAACTTTATAACTTGGCTTTATAACTTTAGGTTAACTCTCCTTAACCTAAATCACTAGCTCACTTTCATATACCTATGAAATGCATCATATTTTCCATCAGTTAGACAACACAGTAGTAAATTGGTCTCCAGTGCTCTGAATGCACCTGCTTCTTCTTCCAGTAAGGTGTGTTGGCACCTTGCGTCTATAGTCAGAGATTTGTAGCAGCAATACCCCAGGTGGTGGTGGTGCACACAAGGTATGCGTCTCGCGTCAGTGCGAGTGCTTAACCGCTATGCACCATCAGCTGTCCTTCAGTTTTTTCTCTACTGCCTTAGGCTTACGGCAGCTCCATGACTTCAATCTCCTGATTAACCTCTAGATAAGTTCCTTTTATTGTTTATCTATACCGGTTTCTTTATTTCCCCCTTCTTTAAAAAAAAAATCCCTCCTCTTATTTTACACCTGTCCTCAATGCCCTTAAGGGCAGTTTCATTTGGGGATGACTGAAAGCAACATGCCAGGGTCCCCTGGGTTCAAATGTTGCCTCACTTTGTGGACTTTCAGTCCCAGTTTCTGACCGACACACACACATAGTGCATCCTCTGCTTGGGAGAAACACATGTACCTCAGAAGCGTGCACACTGCAAGAAACTTTCTGCTAGATCCCATAAAGCTAGAGACCTGCAACACAAGCTTCTCCTAATGGAGAAATCACTGAGACCATCTTCCGACCCTGAGACTAGGATCTCTATGGTGCCAAATTCCTCTACAGCAGCTTTGACCACAGATCACACCTATGTACTCTGAAAGCTTCTCCTCCTAAACAGCCTTCAACACAGGCTGCAGACATCATCCCAAAGAAAACGAGCTAAAAAACCGCATTCTCCAACCAGAAAATCAGCCCCAGTATCGATGGCACAGACCATCTTGTACCGAAGTGCACCAGGAATATCTGGTACACAGATGTCCTGAGGGCCAAAGGCAAAGGAAATGTCAGATCCTTGCTTTGGTGAGCAAGCCAAGAAAACTATCCTCCAGCTTGGCATCCACAGCACCGAAAAAGCCAGCACTAAGAACATAAGAACTGCCGTACTGGGTCAAACCAAAGGTCCATCTAGCCCAGTAGCCTGTCTGCTGACAGTGGCCAGTACCAGGTGCCCCAGAGAGGGTGGACTGAAGACAATGATCAAGCCATCCTTCTCCAGCTTCTGGCAAACAGAGGCCAGGGACACCATTTCTATCCCCTGGCTAATAGCCTTTTATGGACCTAACCTCCATGAAATTATCTAGTTTCTCTTTAAACTCTGTTAATAGTCCTAGCCTTCACAGCCTCCTGTAGCAAGGAGTTCCACAGGTTGACTACACGCTGTGTGAAGAAGAACTTTCTTTTATTAATTTTAAACCTGCTACCCATTAATTTCATTTGGTGTCCTTTAGTTCTTCTATTATGGGAACTAATAAATAACTTTTCTTTATCCGCCCTCTCCATACCACTCATGATTTTATATATCTCTATCATATCCCCCTTCAGTCTCCTATTTTCTAAACTGAAAAGTCCCAGTCGCTTTAACCTCTCTTCATATGGGACCCATTCCAAACCCCCTAATCATTTTAGTTGCCCGTTTCTGAACCCTTTCCAAGGCCAAAATATCTTTTTTGAGGTGAGGAGATCACATCTGTACACAGTATTCAAGATGTGGGCGTACCATAGTTTTATACAGGGGCGGTAAGATATTCTGTGTCTTATTTTCTATCCCTTTCTTAATACCTCTTTTAAGGCAGAGTCCCCTGTGTGCACACACAGACACGAATGACTCCAGCACTAGCTGTGTAAACTCACATGCACACCCCAGCACTGACCTTTAAGGTACCACCACCGTTAACTACTCATGCTGAATTATGCTTGACATCGGTACATGGAACACTGCTTTTCAGTACTGATGGTACCCCAGTTACCCCAGTTTGCTTGGGCCCCAGTCCTATAGCAATACTCGCCAGCTCTGCCTCACCCTCTGTCCATCCTCTGGAGGATGAAGATGAGGAGGAGGTGACAATTCACACTCCACATAACTCCTCCCCCAAGCAGCTTTACCACCACCCACCAACAAACTTTGGTGCTAATGTAAGTGGTTGAATGATCCCGCTATTGTGGGGAACTTTCCCGGCTTCTATACCACCGCAGTGAAACAAACCAGCGAAAGGATCTGAGTCCAGCTCCCATTTCTTTTACGCAAAGGCCTCCCTGACCCTGAGGGCTCCCCTTCCAGAGTCCTCGAAATCCCAACAAGGCTGGGCCCAGGTTTTCTGGGGCTTAATCCCCGACCTTGTAGTCACTTGGGGCAGGGGTTAAGGTGTCCCCACTCCGGGGTGCCCTCTTCACACTGGAATCTTTCTTGACCCAGTGATCATTTCATACAGTTCAAAGCAAATACAATTTATTAAACAGCAACTGATTAAAGAGAAAAGAATAAGGAAAAAATGAGAGAGGTTAAATGAGAACACATAATCCTGCTCTGTAGCACGGGGACATCACAACCAGCAGTTTGCAGAGTGTAAGGACAGTTCACAGTCTATTCCTTGTAGGTCCTAGGGCTCTTTCTCAGGCTCTGGCTGTGCTGCAGGGGGGGCTGCAGGTTGGACATGCTTGCTCTAGCAGTGACCACACGACTTCAGGCTCTAGGTGGCAGGACCCCTAGAGTTACAATCCCTCTCCAAGCTTGGCCTGCAGGGCCTCTTGGCTGGTGGCATCTCTCTGCCCAGAGCCTCTCCCCCCACTTTGCTGGTCCCAGCTGCTCACCACACACAGCTGCAGACTGTGCTGCTTTGCCAGCCTCCAGCTCCTTGTGTTGCTTCTCTGACCCCTTGGGCTCTCGGGTCACTGCAAGTCTGCTTCTCACCACAGGGTCTGCGCTCCTTGGGCTGTGTGTGCCTGGCTCTGACACTGCAGGTTTGTCTCTCAACACAGCTTGCTCTTCTTGCTTCTCTTCTCAGCTCTCTCTCCTTTTCTCAGAGAGACTCAGAAAATTCCAGCTCACACAGAGGACGGGACCTGGCCTCCTAATTTCCTCATTGGCCTGTCCAACCTGTCAATCAGGATGAGCTGGAGTGTTGGTCTCTTTCCATTGTCCCTGGGGTCTATCAGTCTCAGGGCCCTGATTTCTCATGGACCCTTCCCCATTTGGTACTGGGAGCTGGCCAACCAAAAACTCCCACTGAGTTTTAGTAAGGGGTTAACAGTTCCCTTACACCGTTCCCATCAATGCCCCCACTGATATCAATGCTTTCTACATGGCCATGTAGAGCCCAAACCCAGGCTTCATCCAAGATGACAGCTCCTCACATTACCCAATCTCCTTCACCCTCTATTCCACCACTGACTCGGAGGAGGACCTAGATGAACTGGAGGATGCCCCTGTAGGCGATGACAGTTGATGGTAGGTGGCAGTTAACCACTCTCACTGATGAGAGGGAGGTATTGGGGTATTGCTGCTACAAATCTCCAACTATAAGTCCCAAGCGCTGACACACCTAACATGGATCATCCATAGGGACAACCATTTCAGAGAACTTATGTTGCCATTTCATCTGATTTTTTTTTTTTTTCCCCAGCTAGAATGATCAACAAATACAAATTGCCATATGGCTGTTTTTGTGGTCCCTGATTCCTTCAAACTTAGTATTTTAAAACCTCTGAAGAGGTAGCCTCCCTCTGTGTAATATTCTGCAGTATATGCATAGAGGTTTGTGTTTCTATTCACAACATATTGTAGAGACAATGTTGTCACCGATGGGTCTGGTATGTTATGAGAGATAAAGGGTGAGAGTTTTGCCACTGACTTCAATGGAGCCAAGGTTTTCACCGAAGTAATCTAGAGTGGTAAAAATGTCTAGTTACATCTTCTAATATGCATTTACAGCATATTTTATAATGGGACTATTTCATTTGTGTGTAATCTATGGACATCCTAGCAATAACAGGCATTGGCCTGGTAAAGACTTAAAATTTCCTAGGAAAAGTAATGAGTTTAACTAACCACTTTTGAAACTTGGAATCTCAAAAATTAGGCTCATTTTTTAGAAGTACTTACTTCCTGTAGCTCCACTTGCCCACATTTGTAAAAAATCAGGCCACTTTTATTTAGATGCCTAAATACAAATCTGGATATCTAAATGTTGTCCCTCAAGTTGTTACATTTTGACCCTAGTATCTTAAGATGATTCCTTTTTAATTTAAATGTATTTATATTAAATGCCTGCAGCATACATTTTCAGAAGATATTGAAATGTTTCGGCAGAGCATTAAGAACATATAACATTATTATCCTTATTTTTGTACTCTTCTAACTGAACATTGTGTTACAAAGTAAAAATTATATGAAGTTGGGCTTTGGGAAAATGTTTCTGCGTGGCGTATAATTCTCTATTCTTTTACTTTAATAGTTATTTATATACTACATTTTTAACTCTTAAAATTAGAAATTACACTCAGATTCAGACATTGTCTGCACATTTCAGCCAACATCATGTAGGACATTTTATATATTTATATATGTATAAATATTTTATACTCAAAAGAATGAAGTAAGGCAGAACAGTGAAAAATGCAGACTTATTTCTTAGATGTGTTTTAATGAACAGTCATTGCCTTCGTGTATTGTAAATCTGTGTATGCCAGTGAATTCCACTTAACAAGGTCTTTGTTCTTTCTTGGGGGGGGGAATTGATTTAAAGAAAGACCAGAAAGAGAGCAAAAACTGGTAGATTTGCAGAAGCCTTCAGTTCCTGCTATACCACCAAAGAAACCTCGACCACCCAAAACGAACTCTCTGAACAGACCTGGTTCAATGCCCCCAAGACGACCAGAAAGACCAGCTGTGCCTTTGTCTCATACAAGGTATTTTTTTCCATTTACCCAGAGTTTCTTCAGTTGATGGGAAAGTTGCAGATTTCACAGTGTGGATTTTCTGTAGCTGTTGCTGTTCATTTCCAGTTATAATTTTCTTTGAAATAATAGTAAAGATCTCTGGTTAAATACTTAACTATCATACTGTGTCACTGTCTTTAGCTACACTTTGATCCTACTATAATGCAATTGAGTTGTTTATCAATTAC